CACCCATTTTAAAGTGCACAGTGGTATTTAGTATATTCTCAGAGCTGTGCAGCCATCACCACAATCAATTTTAGAATACCTCAAAAAGGAAGTTCCATACCCCTTAGCAGTCACTCACTTTCCCCTTAAGTCTCCCATCCCTGAGCAACTAGTGTACTTTCTTGTTGGTAGATTTGCCAGTTCTGGACACATAATGTAAATGGAGTCGTATACTATGTGGCCTTTATGACTAGCTTTCTGGCATGTTTTCAAGGATCACCATGTAGCATATATCAGAACTTCATTCCTTTTATGGCTGAATAGTAGCCCATTGCTTAGATGAACTGCATTTTAGTCATCCGTTCATCAGTTGATTGACTTTTGGGTTGTTTCTACTTCTTAGCTGTTGTCAATAATGCTTACAACATTCATGTATAAGTTTTTGTTTGAACCTGTTTCAGTTCTCTTGGATACATACCTAGGATTGGAATCGAATTGCCAGTTCTGTACCATTTTACATTCCTACCAGCAGTAAGAAGAGACTTAGAGTTTCTTTAAATCCTAGCAAGTCCTAGCCAGCACTTGCTATTAGCTGTCTTTTCAATTTTAGCCTAGGATCCTAGTGGATATAAAGTAATTGTAGCTTCTGTTTCCCTAGTGAGAAATGATACTGAACATCTTTTCATATATCATCAGCCCTTTGTGTATCTTCTTTGGAGAAATGGCTTGTTCAAGTCCTTTGCCTATTTTTAATTGGATTATCTTTTTATTACTGAGTTGTGAACATTTTTTGTTTTTGGGTACTGGGTCTGAACTCAAGAGTTTTGTGTCTGTGTTCTGCCACTTGAGCTATGCCTCCAGCCCCTTGTTTTAGTTTTAGTTTTTCCTTTGCTGCTTTAGGTTATTTTTTTCAGATACGGTCTCATGATTTTGCCTTATAACTGAATCCTCCTCCCTATTCTAGACACAAAGTCCCTTAATAGGTTTGATCTGTAAGTAGTTTTTGGTATTTGTGAGTTGCCTTTTCACTGTTTTGATAATGTCCTTTACAATACACGTTATTTTGATGTAGTGCAATTCCTTTATTTTTTAGCTTGTTACTGGTACTTTTGGTGTCATATATAAGAAACTATTGTCTAATCCAGTCCCCTTGTGTCAGCACCAGTTGAAAAGATTGCCCTTTCCCCATCGAGCAATTTGGTACTGTTTTCACAGATCACTTTATTCTGGGCATGGGAGACACTGATTGCAAACTTAAGGATGATGTTGAATTTGGTCTGCTTTTCCCAGTTGAGTGACTGTGGGTAGGTTGTTTATCCTGCAAGTCTTCTCTCTCATTTATAGGGTAGGGATAACAGTGCTTCTCAACTTGCCTGTTATGTCACATGAGGTCGTAAAAGTGAGATCATACTGAAAATAAACCTAAAAACACTTTTATCATAAGCATCAGTTCCATCACCTTAGACATGGCCCTCCTACCGAGGGTCTGTGTCCCCACCCACACGTTAGGGTGGTAAGTACTGTCTGAGGTCCTTATAGCTTCAAAGCCTGTAAAACAGAACGCCCTTGGAAAAGGAGTAGGCTGGTCCTCCTACCCCCAGACTTCTTGGAACTCAGGGCAGCATCTCTGCCTACATGTCCCTCCAAACCCCAGGGAGGCTAGGGCTAGCTTCAGGTCCATTCTTACATGATTGGCTCAAGCATTTCTTATTTTAGAACAAATCCACTGGAGTGGAATCTTCCCAGAGTCAAAGAAAGGTAAACAAAGGGGCCTCCAAGCCTGCTCACCAGCTCTTGTTTAAATTCAGAGAAAAACATGTTTTGTTTCCCTCAGCATGGGTTTGGCGCCTTTCACATCTGCCCTCCCAAGGAAGGCAGCTTGGAAGTAAAGGATGATGTTTGGGGGTCTGTGGCTGGGCTGTTCCTGGATTCCCAAAGCAAGCTATTGAGGAAAGGTCAGCCCCAGGGGACCATGGAAGTGGGGGCTGGCCTCTGAGTCAACAGCACAAGCTCAGGCTTCCAGGTCTCGTGGGCCCTTTGGGTGTGGTGGACTGAGCTTCAGCAGCATGCCTGCTTCTACCAGGGAGCCAGGGCAGCTCTGGTCTGTGGTGCTAATCTCAGTCAGCACCCTGGTCTTGGTCTCGAAGGTCCCTGAGAACCCCAGGCAGAGGAGAGCCATCCCAGCCCAACATTCCTGAGCCAGGATGGGCCCTTGGCTGCCAGTATGGGATGTGTGCAGACCAATGTGGTGGCGAAGAGCAGGGCTCTGGGGGTCAGACTCAGAGAGATGCTTCTCTGCAGCTCACCAGTCATGAAACCTTGAGGGAGGCTGTAGAAGATGCTAGGCCCCTAGGAAACTCCCTCGTGAATGGATGTTGGCTGCTTTAATATTCCATATTCCAAACAAAAACCCAAACAGTCTAACCAGGGTCCTGTCCTCTTTTACCAGATCTTCATCCCCCAGGGGCTTTCCCTGGGCCCTTCCTCTCAGAGCTGACAAGGTACTGCAGGGCAGCAGGGTGGCTTTTTCTTGGGGGATTGAGCTTCAGGATACCAGGAGAGGCCACCAAATGAAGGAGAAAGGACCATGGAAGGATAGAGTGGCATGGAAGGATAGTAGAGGATCATTGTTAAGGCCTTGCTCTGAGGGTTTCTGCCAAGCCAAAGGTTGAATAGGACATAGGGTACTGCCCATTGCAGACTTTGAAACAAAGGCCCAGAGAGGTAGCAGCTCACCCACACACTCCATTCCCCCAGCACTCCCTCACATCCACCCGTGTCCACATGGCCAGAGCAAAGTCAGGCATTCTCTGAGGGACCACAGGGTGGAGTGGGTCCTGGGTTGTCGTTGCATAAGCAAATAGGCCAGCTTCTCTGCACCTTAGTATGGCCTGTATGGAATAAGCTGATGGGCAGGTGTGTGGAACATTCAGGAGGAAGTCAGCCCAGTGGCCCTGAGCAAGGAGGAAAGAGTCCTCTTTATGCCCCAACCCCAGCCCTGCTATCTTCCTGAACACTGGACCTGATGAGTCCGACCCTGTACTGAGGGAGACAGACAGGCCTCTGCCTCTCAGCAGTTACCCGCTGACAATGGCCTGGCCCAGCCACACTGTTCTGTCAGGGGGAACTACTTCCACAGCAACAATCCCCTCCCTAGCCTTCTACACAGAGATGCTGAGGCAGCAAAGGGCCTGATGAGAGCTGGTTTGGAAGGAAGGCCCTCAGGGCCCCAGTGTCTCTGGCAGCTCCCTTGAGATTCATTGAGATTCAGTGACAGGAGCATCCCCCAGCTGCCTGTCATCAGTGCTTCTGTGAAGAGCTGGGGCATGGGAATCAGCCTTGGCCATGTTGGGCCTAGTGGAGCAAGAAGGAAGTGAGGAAGGTCCTGGCCATCTGCTTGAGGACAGGGGACCCGGGAACAGTGGTTTCTGAGGACTTCAGCTGCTGCTCTGTGAACTGGCTCTGTTCCTTTTACTACCTCCACTCCCCCAGTGAGAACCCCCTGCCCACGGTGGAGATTGCCATCCGGAACACAGGCGATGCAGACCAGTGGTGCCCACTGCTGGAGACCCTGACTGATGCTGAGATGGAAAAGAAAATCCGAGACCAGGACAGGAACACAAGGTAACCTGTCCATATGGCCTGGCATATGCCATTGCCCATAGGTACCCATCTTCCCAAGCAGGGCCAGGACCATCTCCTTTCCCAGTGATCTGTAGTCTCTGGAAGGACCTTATATTGCCAGAGGCAGCTCCTGGGTGGGCAGGCTTCATCTGGTTCCCAGGGTAGGTTTCCCTGCAGAGAACAAAAGCAAGCCCTCAGGTTATGTCTGAAACAGACAGAGTAGGTTTCAGGATTTCTGGAGAGATGGGCAGGGCCTATGCAACAGATTATAAGGCCAAGAAAGGACTGGGGAGTGTCCCTGCTTGGAGGGACCACACCTGGCTGTTCTAGAGAGCCCTATGGGAGGGTGGCTGCCTAGGGCTGGGACTGACCCCATCTGACTACCTGCTCCCCTCCTGCAGGCGGATGAGGCGTCTCGCCAACACTGCCCCAGCCTGGTGACCAGCCCATCTATGCTCTGCTCCCACGGAGCATCTCAGAAGATTGGACCGCCTCTCCTTCCTCTTCTGGCAAGGAGAAAGGCAAGGGGAAGCCCATTGCCATCCTAGGAATGGGGTGAGGTTGGGAGACATTGGTGGGGGCCTCCAGGTCACCCTCCCCTGGCACACATTCCATTTGCTGAGCCCCAGTCCTGTCCCCCCACTCAAGAATTCTCCCCTACTGTCTGGAGTCAGAAAGAAACTCTTTTTTGGGTTGTATTTTGTTTTTTGTATAGGAGCCCCAGGCAGGGCTAGCAACACTTTTTAAATAAAAGGCAACAGGTCATGCTCAATCTCTTCGGTGTGGTTGCATAAGAATGAGAGCCAGGAATGGGGCCTGAGCTAGATCTAGCGGGGTGGCATGTGGCCAAGATTGACATGCCAAGTTTCATCTCTCCGTGCCTGAAATTCCCAGTTGGGTGAGTAGAGGTTAAGGGGTCTCCCCTCTTGGCCACCCCAGCACCCTGTAAGGTTCTTGCGGCAGAGCTTACGCCTTGCACTTCCTTGGGACTTCTGGCTTCCCAGTGGCTGCCTATGCTCAGTGAGTCCCAGCAGAGATGGAGAAACTGGCTGTGAGGTTCAGGGTGGGGGCCCATCTGCCTTTCAGTGACAGCCCACCCCACCCCCTTGCTCAGCCTTAGGAAGGAGCTGCAGGCTCCCCACTGGCCCTGCTCTGCTGCACCCAGGTAGGCTGTGCCAGCCAGGAGCCTTTGCTGCTCTGGAGTCTCTTTCAGAGGGCTCAGTCTGTGGAGATATTGCCTGGATGCAGGAGGGCCTCTGTGTCCAAGCTCCAGCGGCACACACCTGTGACCTGGACCAGCTCCTCCCTCCCCTCCCCTCCCTCCTCCCCCCCCCCCACCCTGCTGTGAGGAATATAGGAATAGCACATCCAGCCTGGTGCTGGCTTTTGGGGATTTACTGTGTAGAGAGAAGGCATAGGTCCTACCCCTTCCCAGCTATGCTTCTGATGAGCTTGTCCCCTCTATCCTTGTCTGTAATGTGAAAGTGTACCCACTCTAAAAAGTGACTTTGGGCTCCATGAAAGTGGCATGTATGGGTCTTTTCTGAGCCAAGTGGATGGCAAACTGGATGTGCAGCTCATCTTACTGAAGACAGTAGTCCCAGATCCCCAGTTCCTCCTATCACCCTTGGCTGCTGGCAGGTCCTTCCCTGCCAAGTCAGGGCTGAGGGTCAGAGGATGTTATCCCAAAGGGCATGACAGGAGCCCTTGTGACCAAGCGGAGCCCATACAGGGCAGGGGTGGACCTGAGTAGGGACTGGGGTTCTTGGTTGCCAGGATGTAGTTCCTCTGACCCTCTGGACTGGGAACCCTTGTCCTGGATCAAGACCGTTCAGAGTTTGCTCTCAGGCCCTCTACCTGTCAAATGGTGGAATTCACCAGAGGCCCACAGCAAGGGAATAGCCAGGCTTTACCAGTAGACCCTAAGCAAAGAGGAAGATCAGGCCCAGCTGGCATTAGAAACAGTGGACTCCATTCCTGGTGGGTTTGCTAGATCCATGAGCCCTATACTGCCACAACTGGTGAGATGGAAGGAACCCTGACCCCACACCCTCCTCGACAGGTAGGTCCACCTGCCTAAGAGGGGCTGGTGGACCAGGACCTCCCATTCCTAAATCCTGTCTGCTTCTGGACCCTTTAAGCACTGCCAGCTGAGACAGCAGAATTGCTGCTCCATTAGCTTTCACTACAAAATTGAAGTCAGACTCAGAATATTTTTGTTACCATGAAAATGACAACCAGTGGCTGGGGAATCCTTCTGCTGCTGAGTATCCAGGAAAAAAACCACAGCAGGGCAGGCCTAGAGCAAGGAAAGCCAGCCATGTCTGATGTCCATGTTCCAAAAGAGAAAAGGGAATTTGGGTGGTTGGAGAAGGCTCACACAGGTCCTCAGCTGTAGTAGCAGAGACAGACCTTCCCAGAGGTCTCTGTCTTGGCCAGTCTTGGGTCTCTGCTAAGGTAGAACTTCTCAAGGCTCTGGGCTCACAGAAAAGGGCAGAGGACCCAGACCTGGAAATCCTCCGCACCTGTCCCCATGGGTCCTCCAAGTTACTAGCTGGAAAATGAGACAAGGTCTACTTGTTGAGATTATCGATGAGGATGGAAGAGGCCAAGTGGTCATCTGGCCATCCCTCATCAACTGGCAGGGGAGCCAGAGATCCAGCGTGGGTAGGACTTTCCCTCAGTGCTCCATCAAGACTCTGGTAGGGCAGGGACGAGAACACAGAGCCTGTGTTCTCCGCTTGCTGGGCATCTGTGGCAGGGTGATTGTCCTCTCTGGCTCCCCTGTCCTACCACCTACAATTGGAAGGATAGGCATAGGCAGAAGATAGGCATAGGGGCATGGGAGGGTGTGGCTGGCTGAGGTAGGGGAAGCCAGTGCTGTGGTCCTAGAAGCTCAGGTTACTCTGTTTATTCTGATGAATGATCCTTTACACCAGCCCAGCCTCCAAGATGAGTTGCTCTGCTGCAAGTGAGGGTTAAGGTAGGATAGAGGCCTGCCAAAAGCCTTGGGCTGCTCAGGGTGGGCTCACTGCTGTGGGGGTGGCAGATGGGGTCCTGATTGCTCCTCAGGAAGGGGCAGGTAATTGGGGTCCTCCTCAGGGGCATCCAGTAGCAGCTTCCTGTGGGAAGGAGTCCATGCTGAGCTGAAGCCAGCACAAGATCTCTGTGGGGTGGGGGGCCACCCAGGAAAGAAGGGAGCTTGTCATCTCGAGCACTCACAGGAAGCTGGGAGTCAGCAGCAGCCTTTTGCCTCCAGGCTGGTTGGGGAAGACATCCTCCAGGAAGTAGTAGATGTGGCCTACAGCAATCCCTGTGAGAGAGTCACACACTGCTAGAGGCCACCCTCCACAGCCCAGGCTCCAAGCATGAGTACTCCAGTGTTCTGCACAGACTACCAGCCAGGGTGGGATGAGGGATGAGGTTTAAACAGCCTTCCTTCCTCCTCAGAAGTAGGTAGGGTCTGGGGAGGGGAGGACCTGAGAACACTGGGGGAGTTGGGTCTTTGAAGCAGAAACTCTGACCCACCCCCAGCAGGAACCACTCAAGCACCTGCAGGTTAGCCCTGAAAATGCAAATCTTGTGGGCCAGCAGGCTTTTTTGAGAGGCTGGGAGGCCAGGGGAACCAGCAGCATGTCCTGAAGGAAGCAGTGAGCCTGAGGTAGGCAGGTAGGACAAGGCAGGCTCACCCAGCAGGTCCACAAGGATTGAGTTGCCCAGCAGCAGTGAAAAGCCCATGAGCGCCCAGGGCAGGAATGGTGCCTGGAAGGTGAGAAGGCCGAAGAAGTTGACCCTCACCCGAGGGCTTCGGCGGCTCCACACATACACCAGCATGGCCATGAGGGCCTGGCCCAGGAAGAACAGGCTGCCCAGAAGTCCCAGGAGCTGGGTCCAAGTCAAGGTGCCCTGGTGCAGGTCTCAGCCACACCCAGGGCCTCTCTGACTTCCTAAGCCCCTGGAATTCTTTCACTGGTTCCCCTTCTTCATAGCTCATATCTATTCCCCATCACCATGAGCCCCTCTTCTATTCTGGTGGTTGAGATTCAGATCTGTCCTCCACACCTGTCTACCTCATTCTAGGCTCCAGTCACTGCTTTGCCCGCCCCAGTTTCTACTGCTACTTGGATTCACAATCTAGTCCCCCAGGGCCCCACCGGCTCTCCTGCGTGTCATGCTGGTGTATTCTGCACACATCACTGAAGAGCTACCCTGGTCCCTAGAGCTGCGCACACGTGGCTGCTCAGTATATCCTACGCTGGAGTGAACGACTCTGTCCTTCCTTGCCTGGGCCCTCATATCCCACCCCAGGTCCAACAGACTAGCCCCTGAGGCTCCCTGGCCTAAGGCTGCCGAGGTCCATGTCGCGGGAAGGATACAGTCATAAGGACACCCCCGAAAAGAAACATGAAGACAAAGTCGGCTGTGCGACCTCGGAAGGACCCCTCCTCCAGCATGCGGCAGTAGCGGAACCTGTAGCATTGATATAGGAAATGCCAGCCCAGTGGGGCCTCAGTTTCCCCATTCCTGGCCGCTCCCTCCCGGCCTGGTGGGTCCGCCTCCCCTCACACCCGTCTCGCCCCACACAGCTCAGGATACACGAAAAGCATGTTGAAGAAGAAGCTGAATCCCAGGGGCCCAAAGAAGAGGAAGTTGGTGACAAGCCTCCAGACCTGCAAAGGGATGGTGGGTGGCAGTCAGGCGCAGGGGGTTGGGGGAGGGCGGGGCCGGGGTAACAGGTGCAAGGGGCGGGGACCACCTCACCTGGAACTTCCGGAACACAAGGTGCGGGTTGAAGTACAGCTGGAAGGGGCTGAGGAGCTCTAGCTGCTGTGGAACCAGGGTTGCGTCAGAGGCTAAGCCAGAATCCACTCCGTAACCCTGGCGACCCTCCCTAATCCCCCTCGTCCCTGTCGGGGGCTGTAACCATAGCGACACAACGCTGGCTCGGCTAGCTCACCACTGCAGCTGTAGTGAGAACGCAGGCCGCGGTGTAGGCCCGGGTCACCGCCGGCACCTGCTGGAACTCGGCCGCCAGCCCCTGCCACGCCATTGAACTTATTCAGGCACGCTTGACCACAGCTGCAGCGCGCTCTTTAACTCATCTCTAAGCCCCGCCTCACTCCCAATTTTGGCCAATGCACGTCCGAGGCGCCGAGCGTCCGGGTAGAGGGAGGGGTCTTGGGCCCGGTAAACCAATAGAAAGAGGAAGAGGGAAATTGGCGTGTCGGCCCGGCTAGCCAATGAACAAGCCCCACGGTTGAGCACGTGGCTGTTGTTGTGGCTGTGTGGCGACGCGGGAGAACGTATGGCCAATGAGGAATTGGTCGCTTCGCAGCATTCTAGAAGAAAGCCAATAGCAAAGACCCACGAGGCCACCACGGGGGCGGGGCTAGGGTTACCGCGCTAGGGAGAAAAAACAGCCAGGTGCTGCGAGACCGGAAAGGGGCGGGGCCCTGAGATGGGGCCCGACTCTTGAGTCTGGTGCAGCCAGTCCACCTCCATCTCGTCAGGCATTGGTGGCCTGTCCTTACTTCTGAGAACCCGGGACGGTGAAAATCAGGCTCTCGCTCACATGTGCTGGCTTCTGTCGGGGGTCTTCCTGGAGGCCTGTGAGGGAAGAACCGCTTGGAGACTTGCAGCTATGGGTGGGACGCGAAGGTGGTGAGGAGGCTGGAGCAAGTGGGCCTCAGTGTTTTAGGGGAAGAGAGAAACTCCATTCTTTCAACATTTATTGAGCACCTACTGTGTTTTGGGCGCTGCTCCAAATGCTGGAGGTTAACAGCCGCCAAACAAAATACTGCCCCTCATGGTGCAGCTAAGTCACTAATACGATGAGCTAGTGCCCACAGGACAGTGCAATTAATGGAAAATAATGCCAAATGAGGAATGGAGACCAGCGGGTGGGCCGCCATGTTAGATAGGGCGCTATGGGCTGCCTACGTGGGGCGATGACATCTGATTGTCACGTTAAAATGCTCCCTGTATGAAGTCTGCTCCCGTTTCCTGCACGAGGGCAGGCAATGTTTCTTTCTCTCCCCCTCCCCCTCAGTTTACATTTTATCCTGTTATGCTAAAATAAATCCTTGCTAAAACTTAAAAAAAAAATGCTGCCTCTACCCATTAGGATGGTTACACAAACAAAACAAAAAACAGAAACTAGCATGTGCTTTCAGGGCATGGAAAATTAGAACCTTTGTGTACCATTGGTGGGAACATAAAATGATGCAGTCACTGTGGAAAACAGTATGACTATTACTCAAAAGTTAAAAATAGAATAACCATATGACCTAACAACTTTTCTTCTGAGTAGATACCGAGAAGAATGGAAAGCAGTTACTTAAAAGAGATATTTACACACCCATGCTCACAGCATAATGATTCACAATAGCAAAAGGTTGAAGCAACCCAAGTGCCCTTTGACAGGTGAATGGCTGAACAAAATGAGGTATACCCATACGTGGAATTTGATTCAGCCCTAAAGGAATGAAATTCGGACACACCAACATGGAGGAAGCTTAAAGACATTATACTAAGTGAAATTAGCCACAGTCACAAAAAGACAAATACTGTGTGATTCCACTTATAGGAGAGGGGAAGTAGGGAGTTATTGTTTAATGAGTGTGGGGTTTTAGTGTGGGAAATGGAAAAATTCTGGAAATGGATGGTGGTGATTGTTGTACTAGAATGTGAATATACTCAAAGCCATTGAATTATATACCTTAAAATGCCCAGGATATAATATATTATATATGTTTTATTACAGTTTTTATAAAAAGATCTCTGCTCTGAGAGCAGCAAACTGCCAGAGGAATCAGTGAGCAGAGAGAGGGTGGGCAGTGAGCAAGGGACAATATTGGCTTGGGCAAGGTGGAACCTGGACGTCCAGGAAACGTGGGAGGTGGTTTTCTCCACACACTGAACATGATTGTGAGAGAGGAGTCAAGGGTGAGTCCAAGGTTTGTGCCAGAGCTGGAAGATGGTAGTCACTGTTACAGAGATGGAGGATGCGTAGGAAGAAGGTAGAAGGGATGGAAAGAGATGGCTGCTGGTGGCTCATGCCTATAATCCTAGCTACTTGGGAGGCAGAGATCAGGAGGATCATGGTTCAAAGCCAGCCTGGGCAAATAGTTCATAACACACACAAAAAAGGCTGGTGGAGTGGCTTAAGGTGTAGGCCCTGAGTTCAAACCCCAATACTGCAAAACCAAACGAAAACAAAACAAAACACAGAAAGGATGGAAGGTCTTGTTCTGGCCTCATTGGTTCTGAGACATCTATGGGTATCCGCTTGGAAAAATCTGATTGTGGCGTTGGAGAAGAGATAGATGCCAACAGTCCACCTTTTGGTGTCAGCCACCAGTAGCTCAGTGGCATTTGTATCCTGAGTCTGTGTGAGATGCCCAAGGGATGAGGGTTGGTGGAGAAGAGAAGCCAGGCTTGGGCAGCCTGATGTTCAACAGTCAGGGAGAAAAGGCAAACCCAGCCAGGGAGGTGGAGGGAGTGGGGGAGAGGGGAGGTCCAGGAGCTGAGCCCACAAAAGATTGTAGGAAAGGGCCAGGCAGTGAGAAGCCCAGGGAAGAGACTGTGGAATGTAGCCATGCTAAGATCCATGGTGACAAGGATAAGAATGGACAGGAGGGAGAGGAAGTCTCCCACATAGATGTGCTTTTATCATGAGGAGCTCAGCTTTGGACGTCAGCGTGGAAGAAGACGGATGCTCTGGACTGGGCCTTGCAGTCCTCTGGGGAGACTGGAGCTAGCTGAGAGAAAGAACTGGTTGAGAGGATTATCTTAGGTAGATGCCAAGAGAAGAGGGTCCCACAACGACTGTGAGAGGACTAGTGCCTGCTGAGAGTGAAAGGAGGAGCCTCTGCTTTGGAGGCAATTAGACAGCTGGAAGCATTTATATTTGTTAAATACCTCTGATGCAGCAAAGGTTCGACCAAAGTGCTAACAAGTTGGGGGTAGGCTGAGGGAGTCTCCTCAGACCAGCTCAGCTGTCCAGCAAACCAGGCCAAGGTCATGTTTCTAGGCAAGTCAGGCAGAGCACATCCCACTGGGGTCATAGCAGTGTGCAGCAGGGTGGAGATGCAGGGCCTCTGACGCCAGGGTGGGCGTCTGTTGGGTAAAGGAGTCTGTAGAGGGTGAGGGAGGTCGGGTTTCATGCCTGTGTAGGGAACGGGAGGTATTCCTTTTACAGGCACTTGGCAAGACATTGCGGCCCTCCACTCAGGGTCAGGCCAGGGCTAATGGGAGGGGCTGTCATTGTCCGTCTGGGATGTCCGTCTCCCCTGCGATTGGGGACCTGATAAAGCAGGCGCCTGGATTGGGGGCTGAGAAGCACATTCCTGGGAGGCTGGGAGCCCATGGCTGGTGGGGGTGGCCAGCTTGTCTGGAGGGAAGCCAGGTGGGACCTCCCTGGAAACAGAAACTGGGTTCCACTGCAGATGCTTGCTTGTATCTCAGAACCTTGAAGTATCTTTAAGGGGGTAAACTGAGGCCCAGTAGGAGGCAGAACAAGACCTGGAACAGACCTCCATCCCCAGTCCTGACCAGTCTCAGGCTCAGAACAGACACCAGTTCCATTTGTCTGCAGACCCTCGGACACCTCTAGAGAGTCATTTGTGCAGAGAATTTCTGGGAACCCCGAGTTCCAGGGCCTAGAGATGCAGGCCCTGTCACATCAGGGGGTCAACCTATCTTCTCTCTCTTATTCTGAGGACTAAAGGCAGGAAGACAGCTGGTGGTCTCTTAGCAAAATGGCAATTAGTTCTGCTCCCCACATCACCTCCCTCGCCCTCCAACTCCCCTGCTGCAAAGCAACGAACACCAGGATTTCCAGGACTGAAGACCCTCAGAGGAGCCTAAATATCCTACCCAGGCCCTCTCAGTGCCACAGGCAGGACCTGCCTGCCCACCATGCTGCCTTCCTCCTCACAGCCTCACACATGAGGTCAGGTCCTCATCAGTCCTCAGTGATCATCCAGAAACCCGGGGTCACCCCTGCACTCCCCCATACATTGCACTTGATGTTCCCATGGAACTCTCTAGTCCCTTTCCTCCTCTCCAGTACCCCTTATTTAGGCCTCAGCTCATCTCTGGGATTTCCCTAGCTCTCTGGACCATTCATTCATTTTCTTCTGAGCAGCCTAGTTTTTTTGTTTTGTTTGGAGACGGGATCTCTCTGTGTTGTTCAGGCTGGCCTCAAATTCTTAGTGCAAGTGTTTCTCCAGCTTCAAACTACTGAGTAACTAGGACAATAGGTGTGTGGTAACAAGTATAGCTAGCCTAGATGTTCTGTTTAAAGAGAGAGAGGTGATGGAAATGCCCGATACTCCAGGAAGACTTCCCTGATTACACTCAAAGGGACCAGGGCTCACCTGTCTTCCATTAGGGAATTGAGCACTTAATTTTTAAATGTATTTTATGCCAAAGATTGTCTATGCAGTGGTAATAAACAGAGGAATGAGAAACAAGGTGAATTTTTGTTGTGCCTGCTGTATACCCTTTGTGTTGTGCCACACATGATGCCCTTTGCTGGCCCCGAGCACTCATTTGGTCATTAGGAGGCCTCTCCTAGGGGCTGTGAGCACAGGGCCCACCCCTTGCAGCACAGGGACACCCATCCGTGGTGGGTGGGCCTCCACTGCAGCTCCAGCCAGCTCTTCCCAGGAGCAGCTGTGTCCTCTTTGGCCTTTCCTGTCTGGGCCATAGGGTATTTTTAGCACCAAATCCAGAAACTACACAGCAGCAGCTGCTAATGGCCAGAGTACAAGAATGACACACCGTCCAGGTGGGCTGTGTCAGGCATGGACCACAGAGGGAGCTACCTGGGCCTGGCCCCTCTGAGTCTGTCTGCCAAATGCAGACTTTCCAGGAATGAGCTGGCCTCTGGGTGAGATGGGGAGGCAGAGTCAGGAACAAGATAAGTCACACAATCCAGACCAAGAGAGGGGGAACAGTCTGTGCAAAGGCACAGAGGTAACTTGGGACAGGAAGAAGATGAGAGAAGGTGGGGGCAAGGAGGAGGAGGAGTTGGATGCAACGAGAAGCA